ATAAGGTGTTTTGATAGCTGCTTTAGTTGGTACTCTGTTTAGAATATATGTTGTCGTCTTTAGTGTCTCTCCCCAAAGTGACTCCGGTAAGGTAGAATGACAAATCATACTCCTAACCATATCTTTAAGAGTTTAGTTTCGTCTTTCAGCTACACCATTCATACTAGGTGATCCTGACATGGTATACTGTGGGACAATTCTACACTCCTCTAGGTACCTGGTAAAAGGTCCTGGACGCTGTTCACCTGACCCGTCAAATCTGTCATAGTACTCACCATCACAGTCAGACCTGACATGTTTAATTCTTTTGTTGAGTTGATTTTGAACTTCAACTTTAAATGTTTTGAACATGTCTAGAGATTGTGACTTTTCATGTATAAGGAATAAGTATGTATATCGTAAGTAATCGTTTATGAATGATATAAAGTATTGTTGACCATTCCACGAAGGTGTAGGAAATGACCCACAAATGTCCGTATGTATCAACTTTAAGACGTCTATAGCTCTATATGTACCTAATCTCTTCACTCTTGTCTATTTGCCCTTAATGCATTCAACACAAACATCAAAGTTTGTGAAGTCAATGGACTATAAGATTCCATTTGACACAAGTCGTTCAACTCTATTTTTAGAGATGTGACCTAAGCACCTATGCCATAATGCTCCTAAGTGAGTATCGTCAATTTTACTTTTAGTACCCTGTGATTCTGTATTAAGGGTTTCATTATAGGTGGCCACAATATCAAGTAAATACAAATTATCATAAGCCAAAAGTGAACCAGTTCCAACAATATCTGAATGAAAAGACAAACTGAACTTATTGTTTCCAAATGAACACAAATAACCTAATTTGTCCAAATAAGAAACTGAAACCAAATTCCGTCTAAATTACGACACAATAAAAGTGTCTTTCAAATCCAAATAAAAACAAGTACTCAATAACATTTTAAAATTCCTTATAGCTTCCACCTCTACCGATTTACCATCTCCAACATATATTCATCTTTCAGAATCAATTGACTTCCGGTAGCATAGGCAACCTTTCATAGAAACACTGATGTTAGTAGTTGCACCTGAGTCTAACCACCAATTGTTACTAGGTACTGACGCTAAATTGAATTTAGAACAGACCAAAGTAGGAAATATACTTTTGAGGATCGGAACAAAATTTAAATTGACAGATACATAAGCAATTGTAGCTAAATTAAGAACAAAAGAAACAAACTAATCATTTTCACATTATAAAAATAAATAATTATAAATATATATATTCAATTAATGTTTTAACCCATCTTAAGACACCTAATGCACCATCGATATCAAGTCTTTGGACAATAATATTAACTGCTAAGGTATCTTGTTGTAATGATCAAACATTGACAATAAAATACATATAACAACAAACAAGTCTTTGGATTGATTTATCATTGACAAAACAAATCCTTATAATTATCACATGTTTATCATTATAAGTGTGTATGCAATTCGGCCAAATATTAATCTTCCTTTAGGCCAACTAATACTCGCATGAATATTCACAAACACTAACATTCAATATTTTTCACGAACTAGCAATTCAAGAGAGGTTACTTTGGTGACTTCTTGACTCAATTTGCTCACAAAAAATATTAAACTAACAAAAAATTGAATATTTTATTTATATAACAAAACCAAATATTTAATATTTATTTATTTAGAGTTAACAACGCAAATTAATTCAAAAGACAATCACCTCATTAGAATCCCACTAAGAATGAACACCTCTCTAGACTCACACTAGGGATGAAACAGAGATAGTTCTGACCCTCTTTAACACACTGCTCAAGAAACAGTGCAACCACCTAAACCCTAAAAGGGGATTAAATAGTAATCACTCAAACCCTAAACAGGGAATTTAACATCAACTTCCCTTAAACCCCCAGAGGATAAAAGCAATAAAAGAAGAACAACCACACTTGTGGAAACATTCACCAGTTGCTTAAGATCCTTTGTGTTGGGAACTCCCCTAACATCACTCCCAATTCCAAACCCATCCATATCCACCATGAAAAGAAAGCGAAAACAAAACCCAGAAAAAAATAAAAATAAAAACAAAAACAAAAGATTTAAAGAGAATAGAGAACCCAATATAAGAAAGATTGAAACTTGAAACACTATTTCTTTCTCAGTAAAACTTGAAACTTAAACCAAAACAAAAGGGGAAAAAAGAAGAAGAAGAAAAATCCATAGCTTCCTCTGCTACGAGGATGAAACTTTATCTCTTTATGATGAAATTGATTAGGTTTTAAGAAACCCTGAATTAGCCAATTTGGGGATCGCATAGCGCAGTGGATTAACGCGTTTGGATAAAAATTGGGGTCTCCTCCACAGTTTCATCAGCGAACAAAATCAGATTGGGAATGTTACCCCCAAATTTAAATTTTAGGGTTCACGAAAATTAGGATTTTATAAATTAAATAGAATCTGAATTTTTAAATATTTCCTAAGACAAACATGAATCAAGTATGGGCTTCTCTGACACCAATTGTTAGAAAACTAATAATTATGATCATGATTTTGATTCTAACGATCAAATATAAACATTATCTCATACTTATAAACATGTTGTAGACTGAATGTGAAAATGTACCTGAATTAGCCATAATGATGATGTCCCTTTTAGAGTACTATTGATCTTATGATCTTCCATCTGAAGAACACCTTTATTTTCCCTCTGGATTTTCTCTCTTGATGGGGAGAGAAAGAAAGGAATGGGAACTGAGACTTACGTTCTGTGTGTGTGCTCTCAGAAGAGGATAATGACCTTTAAATAACCAGAATTAGGTTAATTACTTAAGTTTTAGTATTTCTAATTTGGCCCCTTATCAAATTAGAAATTACTCTATGGTCTCTACACAAATTTATTTTCATGATATATGCCTATCGTCGCCGTCAAAAGAGGCGGTCGAAGCGATGTGATGGTTTCGTTTGACTCGCGTTTTTTTAAAGAGATGGTTCAACGCCTTTAGGTTGTCCGATAACCGGACTGGACCTAAAGACGAGGTTTTCGAAAGGTTCGAGGAGTCGTCACCAATATTTTTACCGAAAACATTGGAAAAGGAAAAAAAGAAGGCATTGGTTTAGAAAAACCAACTTTGGCCATTACAACCAGAGTCGGGTAAGAGAGTTAGTTACATGTAGGAAAGGTATTAACTTCCCTATGATGCCCCTTTCGGGTTCCCTATAACTATAAATTGCGCTTTTACCCTTATTTATTTATTGTGGAGATTAAATTATTGACTACATGGTCGTAAATGATTAATGCACAACAATACTATCTAAAAAGTAGTAAAGTAGAGAAGGGAGTATATAGGAACCTTCGAAGCAAGATTTTATAGTAAATTCTTTGAAAGATGGTGCTTTTTGGCAATCCCCACACTCTACAATGTTGATCGCTCTTCCTCGCAACACTACAGAACGCTTTCTAAGAACACTAAGAAACTCTGAAAATGCTTCAGAGGGGTCCTAGGAGAGTAATTTGAGAGAAGTACAGAAGAGAAAGTGGTAGAATGGTGTCTAAAGAGTGAGAAAATCCCTCCCCCCTTTTATAGGAATTCACACCTATCAGGTCGGGATTGCCGTCTCGCCAAACGGGACAGCGGTCTCGCCTTCGACAAGTGGCGAGATGACCGTCTCGCCAAACAAGACGATGGTCTCGTCATTGACGAGTGGTGAGACAACGGTCTCGTCAAACGAGACGGCGGTCTCGGCCCTTTAGATGAAATTTCTTATCCTTCCTATTCTAATATGTGACCTATTGATCAATTCTAGGGACCTTTTAGGCCTTGCCCATCTTCGAACAGAAGTCTTCTGCTCTTTATTTTGAGGTCAGATAAGATCTGGGGTCTACAATGCCTTTAGCTAAAATTTTAATTTAGTCAAATCACTTTATTATTTGACTAAATAATAACCTTAACACATTTAAATTATGTAATATATATATAACCCAAAATTTGCCAACAGTGCAAACTACAAGTCAATCTTTATACAAATAATGAAGTTATTATGTGTTGAATTTTTCTCACAACTCTATGTGGAATTACCTTACAATTGTAACTTTCTCCTACAATTTTATTGATTTTTATCATACTTTAGTAGCAAAATTTCAGTTTAATTTGAAAACCTAACTCAATTCAATCAAAATCATATATATGGATGACGATGAAATCTTGTTAATTGAATTAAATTGGTATGTTTAATAATTTTAATTTTTGTATTTAATATTTTTATATTTGATAATAATTAAACTATTTAATCTAAATAAATTTAAACTATTGTATAAATAAAATATTTTAAAAAATAAATAATTTTGTTTAAAAATAATTCAAATTTAATATACTTAAATTTTTAAACAGTTATAAAGTTCTTGATCCAAATAAGATAACGAACAAACTTATACTACCTTGTGATTTAGCATAAGAAAAACTTTAATTATATCTAGTGGATAGAATATGCACCATCTTTATAATGTTCCTTGTTTATTTATTTCCAAGACTTGTATTTTCCGTGATTTTTTTTTAGTTACTTATTTGGGCTAGTCCCTCGCCCTCTTTGCAATATACTTAAAACCTTGAAGCTCTTTATATAAAATGGTTTGTGTAAAATTGTCAACTACTCATCACAAATGCAAATAATAAGTATGGATAGTAGTCACCTTCTCAGTAAAACAGACAACACTACATGTGAAGGTGGAAGTCCATCCCTCATTAACTACCAACAACCTAATGTTGATTAACAAGAATGAAAAAAAAAAAAAAAAAAAGTAACATGCAATCAACGATGAGTAGTACAAACCACACTCTAAACCAGATATTAACATAATTTCCTTCCTTACAAATGCAACGCAGTTCTTATTTTGATGAACATAATTTTGGAGTTGGGTCCAAGAAATCATTAGGAACAAAAATGATAAATGAATTGAGGAATTAGCTTGAGTGATTGAAAATGAACACATTTCATTGTCAAGGTCGAGAACAATGAGCCTTGCACATATGGAGGCAGTCATAGAAACAAGGTCCACCACAGTGAAGAGGACAGTCCAACCTCATTCCTCTGCACCTTGTTCTTGCCATGCATTCTGCAAACACCCCCATTCTATAGTCTTCCTTGTTTGATGTGTGATAGTGCCTTGCACCATTCACTCCATGTTTCCCTTTACCATGTCTTGGTTCCCCTCTACACCCCCATTTCCACCATCCACCCCCTCCACCACCCCACCCCCATCCACTCCCTCCTCCTCCACCTCCACCACCACCACCACCTCCACCTCCACCCCATCCCCATTTAAACCCTCCACCACCACCTCCTCCTCCTCCTCCTCCACCTCCACCTCCACCTCCACCTCCTCCTCCTCTATAATACCAACTATCTTTGCTTGTGTCGAACAAAACATCATTCGAGGAAACATTGTGTTTTCCTTTTAGTTCATGGTTTTCACCATGTTGTGAGAGATTTTCTAAAGTGGAATTGCCTTGAGTATGATGAGAAGTAACATTTTTCACCTCTTCACCTCTAAGTCCAACAATTGTCACCACAAGGAGTAAGAAGAGAACCCGAAAATTTCTCAAGGCCTCCATCTTTTCGTTTGACACGATATGGAGATTGAAAAAGGGAATCTTAAAATGTTAAATTTGAAGCAGTTGTGACTATTCAATATATGCTGTGCCATCAACAGGTCCCCACTTGGGAGGATCAATGTATGAAACATTCCAAAACTCTTTAGGTAGTAAAAATTGAGATGCCTTAGCCTTCACTGTGTCCCCACAGCCAAATATCGTAGCAATGAGTTGTTCAAAAGCTTCCTCTCTTTGCTTGGGATTGTTTCTCTAATCATATTCTGCCACACTTGCCCCATTCTCCACTGGAGTAGAGATAATTCGAAGTCCCTCAAAAGATGCATTGCAATGCTCAACAAATCATCGTTAACAGCTTTAAGAAGAAGCCACTTTCGAAAGTTTGGTCAAGTATATGTATGATCCAATCCATGTCTATTATCTCTTTGTAACAAAAACTTTATAATAATAATTGTAGCAGTTTAGTTTTACCAAAAATACTACAATTATTTATTAGAAAAAAAAAACACCAAACAACAGAGAATGCAGCACAAGATTGCTCGTTTCATCAGCAAAATTAAACTTTTGCAGTAATATTGTGAAAACATCTCTCTGGTTTAATAAACAGGGGAGTTCAATATTCAAATAAAGTGACACCGCTTTTAGCATACAGTTATTACTTTCTTTTTTCATATTTTGTGGATTGATGGTAAAGTTACCTCCCAATGATCAAAATCATACACCAAAAATTTATTGGTTTCTCCAAAAGACCTCAATAAAGAATGTTTTTAAATTATTATTCAGTTCACTGACCCTAATAAGTTATAGGTTTAAAAGAAATTTAATGGGATATAGAACCTAATAAAGAAGTAATGGAAACAGAAACATAATTGGATTTACAGTGTATCCGAAATGTCTATTTTAATGTTTAGTTTTACATTTAATCCTATTAGATATTTATTAAGATGATTCAACCCCGAATGTAATCCAAAATCTTAATATCTTAGATTTGTTGGTCACTTTCATTTATATCTAAATGGAATTTCAATTCAGTCTTTAAGTCTAACCCATATTTATTTAGATAGCCTTCTCTGCAAAGAGAATTTAATTTGGCCAAAAGAACAATTCATATCCATGCATCATGTGCAAAAAGCACTTTGGATATGGACCCTCTCATGGGCTTATCATGCACCATCAATATACATCCTACTTACTATCCGTTGTCCTGCTATTGCTTGTCCTCTAAGCCTAAGACTCCGGAAAATGTATAAGAAAAGATACATATATTCTGCAAATACCATACTCAACAACATTATTACAAAATACATGCTCCATGCCTCCGACCATCCATGTGATATCTATTATTATATCAAGGCAACCAACTACATGATGAATTTTTGGGTACAACCTATGATTCACAGAACTATAGCAGTGATTCTCCTAACAATCTACCATTAAGAAGAGCTATTAAGAAGATAAGGATAAATACTCATTTTTCGTATAATTTTAATTACTACAAATGATAACCTTATAATTAGTCATCATCCTACCTTAAAGAATTCAACTAAATAACATTAAAAGATAAATGATAATATATGATTACTTACAAAAATGTTGTAATAAGTTAGTATAAGTACTATTTCCCTTCAACATTTAGTTTATGTTTTAAATACAAAGTAACCAAAAACAAAAAATCAACTATACTTCAAAAACAACAGTATGAGTATAAATATATGCCTTTTTGTATTCTCACCATGTTCACCTAGGAATCATAATTAAGAAAAGTCACTCTTAACATATCCTAGATACATTTTTTGTTGATTTTTAGGACATGATATTCTAGAGAAATGGCCACAAAACTAAACATTCATAAACAAAAAGTTTTTGGAACAATCACCTTTCAGATTTAGGGTACAACTAAAAGCTTGACCAATAAGCTCTAAGCACCCAATCTCCAATAAGATCTTGTGACCATTGTTAAATCTCAAGCAATCTAATATCAAAAGGAGAGAGTACAATATTTCTTAGAGATTGTAATTTATTTTGAGGAGGTGTATAATGGGTCTAATGACAGCTAGCAGTCCACAATGGTGAAGAGTATGTGCCACTAAAGTATGTTACTTACCTGTGGTTATGATTCCTGCATAATTAAAAGATTGAGGTTAGTATTTATTAACAATAGGGTGAGAGGAAAGAGGTAACGGGTGGTTTTTCTCAATTCTCTTGTTCGTTCTTTATCTTTGTTGTTTCAACTCTCCTTTGTCTGATCCTTGTGATTATTTTTGGTTTTTAATACTTCTAGGAGGATATTTCATCATTATAATTTTTTTTTTATGAATTTTCATATCTATGTTGATAAAATTTTACAAGAAACCATTATAATTGGTGCTTTCATTAAGAGTTAATGATGGACCGTACACATCTGAAGGATCTAGAATCTGATATGCACGAAGCCTTCGAGTCTATTCACACTCAATAACATAGCAATGTTGTTCTTGTTAGTCAAATGACCAACATTGAATCTCATTTTTCTGCACTGCAATCCTCTTTGGTTACGATTACTCATTCCTTGGAGAAATTGACTGTTAAGTCCCCAATTGGAGCATTGGACTTGTCATCAAAGGTTGAAAATGGATTTTCCCCGATTTAATGGGTCCAACCAATTGGATTGGATTTTTTTGCATGAAACAATACTTTGCCTATTACCACACCCCTAATGTCAACCATCTCACTATTGTCGTTGTGAATTTCGAAGGTGTCATTGTTCCATGATTTCAGCTTTTGCAACACGCCGATTATGTTCGCTCTTGGTCCACCTTAGTCACCCTCAGTGCTCGGTTGTTTAAGCTTTCGCAAGCTTCGTCCGTTGGTGAGTATTACAATGAATTCTTGCTTTAGGCCAATCAGAGTAACAATTTAACAAAGGTTTTCTTTTTGGATTGTTTCATCCTATCTATCGTCTATCCCAATCCCTGACCATCCGAATGAAGGCGGTCTTCTTGGTCTGTTTATTTGATGTGAAGGCCACATTGGGCCTTTTTGTTAATCGTAATTAGCCTAATAACAACTATTCTTGTTTGAAACCGATCCTCAAACCAGACACCATTATTCTCATTAAAAGCTCTTTTTCCACGACACGTTCCTTGCCTCACCCCCTTTCTTCTAACACTTTCAACCAAATCGTCTTCCAACATTCGTCTCATATCTCCAATCGAGCAGTAGATGTTATTTGAGGTTGGGAACAATCCACCGCCACCCTTATTGATAGAGTCATTCGTTAATGATGTTCCTCTTTCTAAGGATGCTTCTTTGTCACCCATTCCTCATCTTTCGCTTCATTCTTTTTGTGGATCTCCAAGTCACACTACTATCTACTTTTAGGGGTTTATTGAGTGTAATCGTGTTTGTGGTTTGCTTGATGGGGAAACTTCGACAGCTTTATTCAGCCTTAGCTTGCAAAACTCCTTTGCTTACCAGTTCAACCGTCAACACTCCTCAAAGTGATGATAGGTGATGGCTACTGTCTCCAAATTAAATAATACATTTCTAACCTCTCTATTTGTATTAAAGGTCACACCATTACATTTCCTGCTTATTGACTGGTTTTGAGGTGGTCAGTCCTCGTATTGCATATATAGTGCGTTGTGAATTAAATTTTCCTTAAGCAAAGATTTTGTCAGATTGCAGGGTAAAAATTCTCTTGACCCACTGGTGGCACAATACAACCACCTAAAAAGGATTTGCTTTGTGGAACAGATATCTAAGTTTTACATGCTTTGGTGTAACTTGTTTGAGCCAAATAGAGCCAAAGTGATTCATTTTCCCTCATACTTTCCTTCATATTTGCTGACAATCCTTCACTAATATGCATCAGTGTTTCAGCTTCCTAGTGGTTCTTCCACCACACCAACATGATCATTTTAATCCATTACAAGAGGGTGTTTTCGAAGTTTCTATTAAACTATATTGTTACCCATTTGTTCAAAAAGTCTGAAATTGAACATATAGTTGTTGAGATGTTATGGCAGGCCCTAAGAATGAGTTACTATATTTATGTTACTATTCTTTGTGCGATGAATTTCTATATTTATGTCACTATTTCTTGACTCTTGTAGATGGTTTGATTTTTACGGAAAATATGTTGTGTATTTCTTATTTTAAAAAAAATATAAAGGAAGTATAAATAGAATATAATGTAATAAATCTAAATACTAATCTGAAAATCAGGATAATATTCTCCATATAAATATTGTACACAATTGTGCATAAAATTATCATTAAATCTTATCATAATTGAATTATTCTAATTAATAGTGTTGATATTCAACACACCCCTTTAATCTGGATGGTAGATGTCTATCATAATCAGATTGAATATAATGTTTTCATATGTGTTCCTTAGAAGAGCTTTTGTCAAGATATTTTTTGTTTGTCTATATAATGGAACATGGTTAACACTTATAATACTATGATCAATTTTTTCGTTAAAGAAGTCTCGGTCAATTTTCACATGTTTTATCCTATCATGATGGACTAAGTTCTTTGTTATGTTTATAACAGTTTTATTGTCACACATTATCCATATAAATGTTGTACATAACTGTACATAAATAACGAAATAAAACTGATTATATTATCATTAAATCTTATCATAATTGAATTATTCTAATTGATAGTACTGATCTCCAACACTCCCCCTCAATTTGGGTGGTAGATGTCTATCATACTCAGATTAGATCTAATGTTTTCATATGTGTTCCTTGGAAGAGTTTTTGTCAGGATATATGTTGTTTGTTTGTATGATGGAACATAGTCAATACTTATAATACTATGATCAATTTTTTCTTTAATGAAGTGTCGGTCAATTTTCACATGTTTTGTCCTTGTTAGAATCGCGCAGCAGAATGTTCGCGTGGTCGGACAAAAACCAAGAGGGGGGTGAATTGGTTTCTTAACAAAAATTAGGTTTTAAAAATTTTCCCAAATTTTATCGATTAAAAAGTTGTGTAAACGTAAATAGAATAGAGATAGAGTCTTACACAGGAGATTTATACTGGTTCGGATCAAAAGACCCTACGTCCAGTTGCTAATCACTCAAACAGAGGATTAACGTTGTTACTATAATCAAAGTTGTTACAAACAGATTACAATAGAAAATTCAAAGTAAAGAAAACACCTCTCTTGAAATCCACAAGAGATGAAGAACAGTTTTCCCTAGAGACGGCACAACACACAATCCACTAAGAACTCCACTTAGTGATTCTTATCGCTTCTAGCCCACACCAGGTTCCAAAAGCCCATTTTTCTTGCAACAAACAGTTCTCTGGCACTCACAACACTTAACTTTTGTATGAAAAAGGTTGTTCTACTTTTCTGAGTGTCATAGAGAAGCTTAAGTAGAGAAATTAAGGTTTGGGAATTTGGATTTTCGAAACTAAGAGTCTTGGAATTAGGGTTTTCGAAAATAGGGTTGATTTGAAGTTGAAAATCAAAATCTCACTGAAATAATTGATTAAATGAAGTGTTAATCGATTATTACAAAGCCAAAATCAACAGAACCCAAAACTCTCTGTTTTAATCGATTAAAAGACCTGTTAATCGATTAACAGTCCTATTAATCGATTAACAGGTGTGTTAATCGATTAAACCAGTGAGCAGATACAGAAAATGATTTTTCTTACTGTTTTAATCGATTATTTCACCATTTAATCGATTAAAGCCGAGGCACTTTGATAAAATTGAGCTTTTTGAAGCTTCTAAGGTGTAGACTATGTACCGACTATCTCAAACTCTAATACAAACTCAATCTAATCAAAACAGAGTTATTACACTACAAAACAAGTCTTCAACTCTCTAAGTCTTGTGTTCTTGAATCATCATCAAAATCAACAAGCTTCATGTCCATCAAGTTCAACATCAAGTCCTTGAATGTTCAACAATCTCCCCCTTTTTTATGATGATCAAAATTATCTTTTAAAGCCTTGTAATAACCTATTTTATATGTCATACTAACAAACACATTAAATATACCAGATAATATTAAAAAACAATCATATTAGGCTTTAAATATTTCTCCCCCTATTTTGATTATAATCAAAAAATAATTCTGCTATTACACACATAAGAGCTCCCCCTCAAAATATGCATAACTTGGAGATAACTCCCCCTCAATCAAAGCAATAAAAGAACACCACATTTTATTTTAGAAATAAACATTCATTACAATATAAGAAAAAATAACAACAAATTTAAAATTTTTCACTATCATCACTATGAAAGTGTGCATCAAATCTATTTTTTAAATGACACATTTTATCATCTACATCAGATATACGACGAATTATTTCCTCATGTCGTACTCCAGAAAGAGTGAAGAATGACTGCATCCTCTGATTCATGTCAGATAACATGTCTTCCATGGATTGTCGGGTTTCATGATGAGTAGAGGAAGTTCCAACACTTTGGATTTGATCAGAGGGAAGCTCAGCAGCAGGAGGCATATCTTCATCAGAATCTTCATTATCATCACCTTGGTTTCGAACGTCATCCTTGTGAACATAAATATCGTTGACACACACCATTTGGAGTTGGATTAATGTGTTGTCCAGCATGCGATTTAAGTTATTCGTGCGTACTGTTTGTTCACCTTCGACATTTACTCCCTTGTATTCAAGAATGCGAGAGACAAGGAGGGCATATGGAATTTTGAAGGTGGGATGGCGTTTGGTTTTTAACATAGTCATGGTGACAAGAACACCCCAATCTAAAGGCTCATTATTCATTATGGCATGAATAATACGAAGATCAATTGAAGAACATTGAGCATGATTCGTAGCCCGGGGACATAGGATCCAGACAAGTAGATGTAAAATCATGCGTTCCTCCTTCTTCAAAGGTCCAGCTAGAAGGAGACGCCCAATCTCCATGGAGGGGTTTCGCAGAAAAGAACGGTACGCCATGATCCTGTCAAAATCATCTAACTCACCATACACGTTAATAGCATCTTCTCTAATAGAAAAGTGGGCAACGTTTTCCCAAATATCATCATCAAGAATAATTGTGACCCCCTTTACACAAGAGGTAGCAATTTGATCTCTAAATTTGAATCTAGAGTAAAATACCCTAACTAAGTCAGGATAATACGTACCTTGCATTTGGATGAAAGGGAGAACTCCTTGAATTTCAAGGAGATTAGGAAAGTTGAATGCCCTATTGATGAACTGCTCACCAATAAGGAACTTAGGAGAAATAATAGCACGTTCCTTCCAATAGGATAGAAATTCTTGTCGGTCGTCTGCATCAGAGATCCATCCTTCTACAGAATTAGGACGGGGATGAGATGAGGGTGCAGATCTTCTTCTAGTGGGGATTTTTGCACGAGAAGATAAGGTCATTGAAGGATTAGAAGAGTAACAAGAAGATTTAAGAGGACAAGTTAAGTGAGAAGAAGGCAAGATTGATAGAATGAGGTAAGAAGGCTTGATTTTAAGAGATAGAAGTGAGTAGAAGTGAAATGGAGGTCCCTATTTATAACCAAGCATGTCTAACAGTCATACGGAAGTGAATAAGGGTCAAGAGAGTCGTTGGCAACGGCTAGGAATCCAAACTTGTCAGGTTTAATCGATTAAAACTCGAATTAATCGATTAAACCACTTCCAAACCCATTTAATCGATTAATTTGAGCTGTTAATCGATTAACACTGGTTTTAATCGATTAATGGACGAATTAATCGATTAATCCAGAGAGGAGTGTCATGTTTTGGGTGGTTTGGATGCAAATAATCGATTATAACTCCAATTAATCGATTATTCCAGAGAGTACATCAAATTTTTGAGATTTTTACACATGATAAACTATTAACATCCTGTATAATGAATTATATCCTTACAGTCATCCACAAACTGTCTGATTAAGCAGAATTTAAGCTATTTCTAGTATCCCTAAGTCTCTTCTAAGATCATAGAATATTTCCTTGGATAGAGGCTTAGTAAAAATATCTGCTAATTGATGCTTTGTATCAACGTACTCTATTTTATAGTTTCATTTGCTGATATGATCTCTCAAAAAGTGATGTCTAATTTCTATGTGCTTAGTCCTAGAGTGTATTACTGAATTCTTAGTAAGATTAATTGCACTCGTATTATCACACATCAAAGGTATGTCATTTAAAAATATACTATAATCTTCTAAATGTTGTTTCATCCACAGAATTTGAGCACAACAATTACCAGCTGCAATATATTCAGCTTCAGTGGTAGATAAAGCAACACATGTTTTTTTCTTAGAATGCCAAGATACTAAGGATGAACCTAACAAATGACATGTCCCACTAGTACTTTTCCTATCAATTTTGCATCCACCATAATCAGCATCAGAATATCCTATTAAACTAGTACAAGCATCAGATGGATACCATAAACCAAAACCAGTAGTTCCTTTTAAATATTTTAAAATATGTTTTACTGCTCTTAGGTGAGATTCTTTTGGACAAGCCTGAAATCGAGCACACACAC